ATTTATTTAAAAGTGTAAAAATTGTTTGTTAATAATCTTGCATTCAATTCTTCCTTTAAAGTCTGTTGTACGAAAAATGTGATGTGTCTATCATATAGTAAAATCAGCAAGTGTGAAATCTTGTCTGACTGCTAAACCCCAAATCCGTTATACCGAGGTCCACTATGCCGAGACTCACTGTGTGTGACATTTAATTTTCTATCCTGAAGCTTTTTACATGGCCAGTATAGACCAGATGCAGCAGAATTCTCTCTAGAAAAATGCACAATCCAAACTTCCTGGGGGCAAAGCTGGTTGGCATAATTTAATACTTGATCAAAATGATTTTTAAATTTAGGGATGGATCCTGTTGCTACAAGTTCAAGAATGGCTTCAGGATAGGAATTATCTGGTTTCTTTATTATCAGTCACAATAAAAATGATGGTAGTTGCCATCATCACATACTTGTTCGAGATGCCACTGGCAGTTATCTCGAAGCAATGCACCATCACAAGCCAATTCTATACACCTCAGCATTGTAAATGCTCTCCTGAGGAACTTTTACACTCCATCAGAAAATATTTTAATTGATTTAATGTTTTCATCTAGTTGTGCTAATTGTTGTAGAACAACATCAAATGCTGATGCAGTAAACCAAGCATCTTGTTTGTTCAGAATTTACTAGCAAATTTTTCGAGCTTTTGTATGAGCGAGAAGATCCAAGGGTAATTATTTTTAGGTCAATGTACATGTGGTAAACTCTAAAATATCTACTGATCCATCGGCTTGTAAAGGTATTTTCCACATTCAGAAGAAGCAACTTATTTAATAGGTATCTATTGTAGCCGGATCCTTTCTCCTCTTTCCTAATAATGATGACGATGACGATGACGATAGTGATGAAACTACTGGAGATGATGGTTGTGATGCTAGTGGTGGAGATGGTGCTGGCGGTAATGATGCCTTCCTTTTTCTATTAGTTTTGCCATAAGTTATTTATTTTCTCAACATCAGCTTATAGAAAGCAAAACTAGGTGAGATAGTTCCTTGAAACTCTGTGTAAAAAAGGCATGAATTGATTTTTTGATTCAGTTTCGTTAATAAATAACAGTCTTGCTCATTTAAATATAATTTACTTACTTGTGATGGTGGTGGTAATTGTGAACGACTAAAGAATTAGAATGATGAGTTGTAATGCATCACAACCACCACTACCATTCTTTTAAAAATAACTAGAATGACGCCAAGTAGCGATAACCACCATTCTTATGATAAACACTTACTCGGGTCTTGTTGCTTCCGCAACATTGTTTATTTTTCTTTTTTTATAGAAAAAAAAATTTTTTGATTGAAAAAATCTTATGATACACAAACGCATGTATGGTTGGATGATTGTTTTTTTTTTTTGTAAAAACGATTTATAATAATAATGACAAAACACGAGTGATGTTGTTTGGTTCTAAAAAAAGGGGTGACTAGAAAAGGACAGGGGACGGCATTAGCCACAATTACCTGTACCCTGTCCTTTTCAATATTTGTATATATACTAATACTATTAGTGAGTGACACTTGACCCCCTGTAGATCTGCAATGTCCTGCGACTGATATCAAAAAAAATTTCGATAAAATACTTTCCATAAAAAGTAAGTGATCACTGATAATTTTCATTAGTTTATGTCGCACCAATAAAAATAACCCAATTTTTTTTTAATCATAATGGACATCCTATATATTTATCACAAAGTGACAAAATTGAACATTGACCTTTTTTATATTGTGAAACAGAAATTTTCAATTATTTTAAAGTAAAAAAAAAAGAGGAATATCAGTACAAAAAACCAATGCACCTTGCATGTTATTTTTTTATATTGATAAGTTGTTTATTCTTTTCTTTATGTTTGGGCAAAATAAAATCCTCAGATCTTTGGTCCTATCAAAAACTAGATGAGAAACAAAATTTTTAAGGTGCATAACATAGTAACATGACTAAAATACATTGTAACAACAAAGAATGCTTTGCAAGAACATACCTTCCTTTGAAAGCTTTGCTTGGTTAAAAATAACCCAGTTAATCCAGCAGATTGCAAGATCTAAATAAGAGGCAAAAATTCCAAAAAGCATACATATTTTTTACCAAAGTGTGCAAAAATTAATGATTCAATTACACTTCTTATTCTTTTTCATTTGTTTCTTTAGACATTAAGGTAATTGTGCTAGAGCAACACATACATACATATTATTTATTACATATTGGGGTAATAATAAATACACTAATAAAAAACATCATTTATACATGATTGACTCAGGACATAAAAGGTAGTCATAAATGTATACATACATATATATATATATATATTTATTACATGTCAGAAAGTACATAATAAAAAATGTTATTTATACATGGATGCTGTATGATTGACTTGAGACATAAAAGGCAGTTGTAAACGTATTATTTTTTTTTATTTTTTACATATTAGATAAGTACACACTAATAAAAAATGTTATTTATGATTGATAGATGTTGGCCTTGTTTCTATTATCCATGCCTCAATTAAGATAAATAAAGGTTTGCTTCCATATATACTTGATAAAACTTGCACACTTTTTTATAATTGGTTAAATGTTGGGTTAGCAAGATGCATGCAAAAATTTATTTAGTTGAAGCTTCATTAAAAAATAAAATTCTTTTTTTTTTCTATTTGGGACAATCAAAGTTGCTTTTTTGGGTGATAAAATCGAAATGTGATCAACGAAAATCATTACCAATTATAAGAATGTCCACTATGCTTTTTTTTTAATATTATTCATTTTATAAAATTCCAGGACCATCTAGAAGAAAATTACAAATAAAGAAAGAAATTCTAATGTAAATTTTGGTATAAAAAAAATAAAAGAATCGAATGATTCTTCAGTAGAAGTTCTCAAAAATGGTGGCAATGATATTATTCAGGAATTAAATAATATAAAATTGATTTAATTTTTTATTTGATTTGATTATTACTCTTTTCTTTTTAATTATCTTTTTTACTGTTATTTTTTTAACTAATTTTAAATTATTATAAAAAATTATATAACTCATTAAAAAAAAATGAACCAAGAGTATCTATCTGTTTTTTCTAAATGTCAATGATTTGATATAAAAAATAATTACTTATATTGGAAAGATCTACATTTTTACTATTGACATTTATAGATGACCGTGCACCATAAGAGGATCTTCCAAGTTTTCTCCATGCCTATCAACAATTCCCACATAAATCTATCCCCTGCTGCAAAAATACCAGCTAAAGACATATGTGATGCTAATCCTTTTCCCCTACTAATTTTATTTGTATTAATTATTTGCGAAATATTATTTACGACAGAACGTAAAAAAAGGGTCTGGCCTAAGGTAACTTGCTGATTAGAGGAGTCTGAATTTGCATACAGAGTATTACAGATGATAATGACGCACACTACGCCTTTGGTAATTGTGGGAAATGATATACAACCACAAATTACCAAGGAAAAAGGTTCACTTTTCTCCTTCGAAATTTACTTCGACTTTGAAGGAAGCTTTAATTACACACCCAGCCCACCCGGTTAACAAGAGGAATCTCATTCGGTGATACCTGCTATGATTTACTTCCGGGTTTACAACTGATGCTTCCTTCGGGAGATATTTGGGATATGTATATACTGTATGTTTACAAGTAATTGGTTTTAATTTGTATTTGTATTGGCAATTAAAAGGCTTATTTCATTCAACATCCAACTACGTTCAACCTAAATTGTTGTGCAGTTCAAACATTGAAATATTAAAAGCGAGAATTTCTTCTCGAGCAGAAGCTTTGAAAATGAAAAGGTTTTTAATTATTCTATTATTCTATTATTCTATTATTACACTGTTAGTATGTAATTCACGGATTTCATTATTTTCATTATTATTTTTTTTTTTGATAATATTAAAATAAAATTTAAATCTAGATTTTTTTCTATGTGAATAATATACTTCGACTAATTAAATCAATATTAAAGTAATTGATTAATTGAAAAGCAAATAATGAATTGGAAAAACGATAATAAAAAGATATATAAATTAACTTACGAATTTGCAATAAACCTTCACCAAAATATCTTAAATTTATGATTGCCCAAATCAACGTCATCTAAATAGTAAACAGTAGAATTATTATTATAATTATAAGAGAAAAATCGTATTTGTAAAATCATTATAATTATTCAAAAACTTACAATTGACATAAATACTGATATACAATCTGGAAGATATTCAAAAAAAAAAAAAATTAGAAACTAATCAAATAACAAACCAATAACCAACCAACCAACCAACCAATTGAACAATATGCTTACTTGAATATATTAAGTAATACCAATGGGTGTAAATTTTTCTGGTGGCATATTTCACAGCGATAATAAAATCAAGTATAACGAAAATCCAGAAAAATATAAATATAAACATTCCAACTTTTGATTCATTTTTCACCTAATAAATAAACTAAAGGTATTTAGGAATAAATTAACTACCGTCATTAGTCATTAGTAATTGATTTATGCTACCTACAGATATAAATCCAATTAATTGCAATGCTAAAATTAAGAAAATTATAAAGCAATGATAGTAATAAAATAAGTTGGGTGATGGTGTTTCATTACTATTACTATTGTTGGTCATAATGAACGACAAAAATGTGTGAACGCCAGTAATTATTAGGAAGAACAAGTTCATTTTCAATAATACAAAAAAGATTATCCTAGCTCTATAAATTCCTATTATCATTATTTGATAATATAATAATGTTAAAGCTCATTGATTCGTGAACATTTAAAGTTTAGGTGTATGCATGAAATAACAACTTACTTTGAATTTTTACACTTCCGCCAATTTTTTTATAAACCATCCAACCAAAATTTAGGTATACTTTGTAAACCAAGAAACACATAATAACAAAACAAACCAACAGTGTGATGGCTAATGGTAAATCGTGGTAGTAAAAATGTTCATAGTTATCAATTAAAATTTCTGAACACGAATTAATTAAATCGTCAAACCATTCCTTCACTTCCAATAATTGAATCTGTAGTTGAGGTTGGGAGGGAAGGGAGAGGGTAAATTAAATGAATTGGAAGAAAAAAAAGGATCCGATTACAAATCATTACTACTCACAAATCCATAAGCAGAACAAAGTAAATCCGATAGTGTGATTGTGATTAATTGAATCGTGTTTTTACTTGCAATCTAAATTTTCGCAATCGAACACATGTTAATATATGAATATTGGTTGATTAATCCACACACCCACACACACTGATTTTTAAAAAACCTACCGAACTCAAACAAAACCAACATTGAAATATTTGAAATAATATAAAAACAATATTTTCATTTACAATTCTATCCATTTTTTCAAGTGAAATTTCTAAATCACATTTTAAAATATTTGGACTGATATATCTTAAATCACTTCGTAGTTTTATATTTCTACACAATATTCTAACTTCTAATGCTATTCCAACTATGGTTTGAATTATTGTTA